GCTGCCAGTATCTCCCTGGAGAATTTAAGCTCTTGATCTACGGCACATCACTCTTCCAGGTGCCCCTTCCTTCCAGCGCTTATCTGACACCGGGAAGTGATACATGAGTTGGGTCAAGGAAAAAAGACAGTGATGGTGCCTGGAAGCAGGGCCTTGACAGCACTGGGATGTGGCAGCCGGCTGACGAGGAGGGCGGCGACCGCAGAGGCGGAAACGGGCCAGCGCCGCTCCTCTGGGCAACTTCCTTTCCGGCTTTCACTCTGCAGTTGAACAGCTCCACTTTGGAAGGGAACTTAAGATGCCAGGCAGGTACGGCCAGCCAGGCACCACGGCTCCGCTGAATAAACCTCTGCCATCCAAGCCCTCTCTTCCTGTTACCGATGGCGCGCTTTCTGAGGAAATACGAAACACCATCCTAGATGGGAACGCCGGAGACTCTTTGGCCAGGGCCTCCCTCCAGAGAGAATGCAGTGCAGCTATAAGTTATTGCATTTGATATTTTTACTTCCAATCCTATTTTTATGGGCATTAGTTCAGAGGCTGAAGCTTCAACACAGATGGAAAAGACTGGGGCTTTGCGATGAGAGATGGTTGGTGGTGCGTGGCCTGCTGCCCCGGGAGGTGCATGAGCAACCGCACACCATCGTGTCTTTAGGTGGAGTGAGGAGACGCCTTTATTATACGCATGGTCTTCCAGCCAATTCTGCCTTCATCTTTCCCCTGGCCAGGCCCTCCAGATGCCCCCAGGGGGAGGAAGTGACAAAGACCATGGTGGCTGAGGGAAAAGAGGAACAGGCCAACCTTTGAAGTGTATTCCTGGCTCTGGTTGGGTCTGCCATCCTTTGGGTCTTCAACGGGCCTCACCTTGATCCAGGGACTTGGGCCTAGACCCCAAAAGGCATAGCTGAAGGGAGGAGATGCTATGGTGTTATCTATACGACTCCATGTTGTGGATTTGCGGTGACTTTTGCAGGAAACAAGGGCTGGGGTAGCCAGAAAACCAAGCTCCCGGGTGGGAATGGTGGCGCAGACCTGTAATCCCAGCACTCTGAGAGGCTGAGGCAGGAGGATCACAAGTTCAAGTTCAGCCTGGGGCAGTTTGGCAAACTTAGCAAGACCCTGTCTCAAAATATTTTTTTTTTGTTTTTTTTTGTTTTTTTTGTTTTTCTCTGGTACCAGGAACCGAACTCATGACCTTGCACTTGCCAGGCAGGAGCTTTTGCCACTGAGCTAAATCCCCAGCCCTCAAAATAAAACACAACTGGGGATGCAGCTCAGTGCAAAAGCCCTGGATTCAATCCTAGTACTGCAAAAAAAGAAAAGTTAAGCTCCCACTGCCTATGAGGTCTCCTGAGTTGCCACCTCCCTCCATACTAGATACAGGGAGTTTCACGCCAATGTCCTTACAAGCACAACTGGACTGAGGGCATGCAGAGTCTGATGTGCATCACTTGGGGCAGGGAGAGAGAGCACAGTCTGGGGAGGAGATACAGAGAGACACAAGAGGGAAGCAGAGAGACGCAGGGCAGAGAAGCGGGGGAAGCGTGGCTCGGACCCGAGGTGGCAGCCTCGAAGCCGCGCCTTAGCGGCCCTCCTCCTCCTGTCTCCCCAGGGTTAAAACCACCTCATCTAAAACCACTAAACTGGGGGGCACCTAGCTAGGCAGCAACAGATAACTGAACTCCAAGCACAGTTTTTTTAAAAAAATTTTAATCCTTTAGCTCATGACCCCAGGAGACTCTAAGAAGTCTTGGGCCGGGGTGAGGAGACGCAGAAGGCTTCCCCCTGATGGACCGGAAGCGAATGCAAGAGAGGGGAGATGGAACTTCCGGAGATCCCGTGGGGAAGAGCTGCGATCGGAAGCTTCAGGTGTTTCTTCTACATCAAACGGAGCCCACTCCATTGGACAAAGGTCACGGCTGCATGTCCAGCACGGCCTTTCTCTTCGTACACTGCAGCCAGGGGCCTGGGATGCCCCCTGGTCCTGCGGATCTAAGAGGTGCAGGGGAAGATTCCCAGAAGCCCTGGTGTCTGCCAAACGGTCCACAAGATGTGCCCCGAACTGTTCCAAGGCATTAACAAAGGGATTTTCAGCCACACCCTTGGCTCCTTCTTCACCTGAAGCAGCGGTTTCCTGGCAGCCCCCCCATCTTCCTTTGCCCGGAGGCCTTTTCTTCCACTGAGAGCCTTTTGCAGGAACGACAGATTTCCTAAGTTCTGCTTCAAAACCTGGCCAACCCCTTCTTTAGTTCGCCCCTGTCTTCCGTCTCCTTGAGGTCAGCCGAGGAAGCTGATGGGCCCTTCGCGCGGGGCCTGGAAGTCGCTCTCCATGCCCACGCTCGCTGGGGCCATCAGTCCCACACATCACCACAGGCGACGGCCTCACTCCATTCTCTTGCCAGTGACGAGCTCAGGCCTCCTTTTCCCCAGAATCCCCGAGTCTCCTGGCTGCATTTCAGGACCTAGCTGCATTCTCCCCGAAGTTCCCCAGCTTCTGACCTCCAGCTGGCCCAAAGCAAAATCCCCGGTTTTAGGGTTACGACGGCACACACCACTTCCAGCCCAGTGGTGCCGGCCTTCCAAATGTACCCCCGGTGAACAAGCCCTCCTGGTACTTAAGCCTCTGTCCCCTCTACAGTGACTCCAGGCAGGCCTGAGACTCAGCCAACGAGAGATTGTGGTGCATAAATTTGGGACGTGCCTGGTAAGATAACTGGTAACTTCTTCGTCCCTTTTAAAATGCTCCCTTCAAGGGGTCCTGAACACCTTACGAAGAAGCCTGGCTGCCCCACTGGGGAGGCCTGAGATTGCAGGGACAGTGGAAGGGACCAGCACTGCCCCACGCAGGTGGTGACCTCACCCCTGGGATGGGCTCCCTCCTTCCCGGCTGTGGGGCGGGGCCTCTCAGAATCTTCTTGGCTGAGCATCGGTGTCCAGGACCAGGCCCATAGCTGGGCTGAGTTCCACTTGATTATCTAACTGGAGCCTCAGGTGAATTCCCTAATCCCTTTGTCCCAGGTGGTTTCCAGTGAAATGCAAACCCACAGAACCTCGTCCAGGGGAAAAATGCTCCTATGTCCCACCAAGCCATCGTCGGAGTTCTTCCAAAAGGTCACGGGTCCGCACCACAATCTTAATCACGGAGAGAAGCACTGCGACTCTTTAGGCCTGTCTCCAGTTCGTCCTGAATTTCCACAGTGTGTACACTTAGGAAATTTGTCCTCTTCACCTTTGTCCTCCCCTCACGGAGCCCCTTCTGTGACACTCTGAACCCTGGGTCAGCACCAAGAGCTAAAGCTGAGGACGGCAGGGTGACCTGGGCATGTCCCTTCCTACCCCAGACTCAGTGTCCCCACTTATAAAATTAGAAGGTCGGATGGGTGATCTCAAAGTCTCCAGCTTGCTGGAACTTTCCTGGATGGCGACTCCCCCCCAGTCCCTCCCAAGCCCGGCCCCGATCAGAGCCACACTCAGCCCCCTGTGCACTCAGTGAGGGCCATGGGGAGACCTGTGGAACCCCCCGGGCTCCAACGCTCGCTCAGCTTCCCGGTCCTCTCTGCAGAGAGCCCTCCCGCAAGCTCCAGGAAGCCCAGGGGACTTCCAAACTGGGCCCACCTCAAGGCCTCCCGCTGGGGACACATGGCCCTGAGACGAAAGTGGGAAACCAAAGCTGAAAACACCAAGAATGAAGACAACCTTCCTCGGGGCAGTAACCAACACTCAGAGGACAAGAGGTGGGGGACGAGGGCAGAGGTTGTGGGGTCCTTAGCCAAGATAAGTCAGAACTCCATGTAGCTACCTGAGACTGGCCTGGCCTCCTCCCCAGATTCACTAGCCCACCCCTCCCCAAATCTCCCCAGCCCTCCCGTGTGAGGGCTGTGCTTGGGCCTGTGTGAGAGACGCTGTCTACAGGCTGGACGGCCCAAGAGCCCCGGGCCAGCGCGCCAGCTCTGAGGCCAGACTGCCCGGGCTGGAATGCCAAGTTCACTGCTGACTCGCTCTGTGACCCTGAGTTGATCTCTGTGTGACTCCATTCACACATCTGTTAAATGGGTAAATAATATCTCCTTCGGGAAGTTGTTCTAAGGATTAAATTACATGATTTTTTATAGTCCCATACAAGGTCTGCAGTGTAGTCAGTCTCAGACAGATGTTAGGTGCAGTTAGTATGTGTGTGTCCAGATCTACAGGTTTAGACTCGGACGCACTGATGTGAAGGTATAGGTGTGTCTTCTTACTGGAAGGGGAGATGCCAGATCTTGAAGGTGGTTTTCCCAGGGTGAGGGTTAGCCCTTGCCTGTATCTTCTTTCCTTCAGGCTGGGGATTTAGCTCAGTGGCACAGCACCTGCCTGGCAAGCGCAACATCATGAGTTTGATTCCCTGTACGGGAAAACAAAAACAAAAACAAAAAAAATCTTCTTTTCTTCAATAGGAAAAGGCACATGAGGGGTGGGGCCACAGCCCACCAGTCATTGCCTTCCTTTCAGGCCCCCAAGCCTGGGTCTCACCTGCATAAGGCTAAGTGTCTATCCTGAAGGGATTCCTCCAGGCCCAGGAATCCTTTTCACAGTGTGACCCTTTGTGATCCTTCAGAGTGGCACCTGCCTCACTGCGCACCTTCCCAGAAAGGACAGGTCCCATCCCAGCACAAGGGCGAGGTCACCTGTGGGTGAAGCCCCCACCTTGTACCTACTGTGGCTCCTTCGGCTCCTTCACCCAATGCTGGTAACATTTCAGGCACAGCAGGACGATATTTGAAAATCTGTGCAATATGTTTTCCTCTTTTGCCTTGATGCAGACGCCATGAACTTCATCTTCATGGGCCCGAGGGATCTATCTCTGAGATTTAAAAGAAAAAACATTGTGGGCCATGCATGGTGACACAAACCTGTAATCCCAGCGCTCAGGAGGCTGAGGCAGGAGGATCGTTTCGAGTTTGAGACCAGCCTGGGCTACAAAGTGAGCTCAAGGCCGGCCTGAACTGCATAGCGAGACCCTGTCTCAAAAAGACAAAAAACAAACAAACAAAATGGAAAAAAAAAAAGAAAGAAAGAAAAAGCATCGTAATGCTCGGCATCAGACTTGCAAAACAAGATTATGCTGCAAGCCAAAAGTCTGCTAAACCAGGCTATTCTCTGGAAGTCATATGTTCCGGAACCCACAGCTCTCCTCGGTGTGACTGTGAACTTCTACGGACCGGGTGTCAGGGCAGAAGAGCAACGGTGTCTGTCCTCTCCTTCCTGCCTGGGGGTGGGGGGAAGCGAACTAGGCAGAGGCAAAGGACAGGACCGAAGTGGCTGCATCTGGCCTGTGCACCTGGCCTGGGACAATACAGAAGGTCACCCAGGCCGCCCTGAGCCACGCCTCCACCTGCCACCGCAGGGCTCCAGCATCGGGTAGAGGAGCTTCCGTTCTCACTGGGCCCGCGGGCGCATGGCTGCACAGCAAGGAGATCCACAGGAGAGAGGGGCCCAGGGTCAGTGGGGCTGGGGTTAGCCCACCATCCATAAACTCCACTTCAAGTGAAATCAGTTTTGGGACGGCCAGGGGGTGGGATGACAAAGGGAAACGAGGGCTCTTCCACACCCGGATCCCAACCCCGTCCTCCTGACAGATGTCACACACGGTCCTGGGCAGTCCACACACCCTGACCCGGCTCGGTGGGGGGAGCTGGCGAAGGTAACCTGAAACCCAGGCACACTGATGCGAGAGAAATTAAGGTAGTGTAACAAGACAGGCTAAGCCCTCTGGTGCTCTGACATTTAAATCCAAGTGAGCATTTCACTGTCTTTCTCACTGATCACGCAGGGGTTGGGAGAGGGGCCAGAGCATAAAGTCATAAATGAAAGACACCCCCCCCCCACGCCGCCACACAAGTGAACTGTGGTATGAAGCACATTCTCAATCCTTTTGCATGCTCAAAAACAAAAGACCCGGCCCTGCCTCGCTGAAATGCCAGCGGCCTTTCCAACAACGAGGGACCAGTCCTGGCCTTCCGGATCCCACACCGCCTCCTCCTGGAGGGCCGGGACGCCGCCGCGGCAGGAAAGGACAAAGCGACTCTCCAGCTTTCTCATTCCCTTTGCAAGCCCTTCTAGGGCCCGGCATTCTGGATCCCTCCTCGCCCTGACCCTTCGTACCTAGGGAGGCGGGAAGGTGCAGAGCAACTGTGCCAACACCCTGGTCCTACACTTGGCCAGTCTGGGCCGAGGGGCCGGGGTGGAGCCGAGACATGCGGAGTGTAATGCTGCCACCTGCTGGCGCCACCGGGAAAACCAGGTTCCGCTCCCCGCCCCTGGGAGCAGCTACACAAGGGTATGTTGCCCCTGAGTGATTCACTTTCCTTTGTTTCATTTGATCACCTGCAGTGCAGGTTGGGGCAAGAGCCATATCTCATTTGGGGGCCATTTTGTAGCTTTATTTGACAATCAGTCGTTAGTTCTCATCCACACTGTCTAAATGTTTGAATGCTATGACAGGGCCCTAAACTAGCAAACTAGAGAGCTTGTTTAGTGAGTCTTCACCCTCCTTATGCTTCCTGGACAGCCTCACACAGACAGGATACGGGAAACGCCTATTCCTTCGCTGAGCCTGGCGTCAGTGCGTGCCTATGGAGTCCCCACCTCCTCCAGGGCAAACTCTGATCTCTAAGGGTCTTGCTCCTTGAAGCCCACTCCACGCTGTGCTTGCAAATAGTAATGGTTATTCCCAGGCAACCCCTCGTGGGTGGCAGAACAGCCCTTCTTGTTCTCCCCATCCTTCCTTAGGGGAGCGTTCCCGGGGCCCAGGTTGGAAAGGCGCCGCCCCACGGTGGCTAAGGGCAGCACAGCCTGCAGTCTGAGGCCGCAGGACGCCGGTGGTGCAGGACCGTGTGTTTCCTGCTTCCCAGCCATGAGCTGCGAACCCTCTCGGTGCACAGACGCGGGAGCCCTTGGGAACAAGGTCCCTATAGGCACCCCAGTACCCAGAGAAGTGCAGAGAGGGGAGGAAGGAGGGACATGTACCTCTCTGCAAGGACCAGGCCCCCGGCAGTAGAGCCGCTCCCGAAGGTGCTCATGGCCTGACATGTACACAGCGACTCCATTTCCTGAGTTCTCATGGATAGAAACACGTTTTCTGAATTGCGACAAGAGCAGGCTGGCTGCCAGGGACACCCTGAGCAATGGCCGCTCTGATTCTCGCAGTCCTCTACAGCTCACCGGGCTCCACAGCCCACTGGGCCACCTTGGCCCCGTTCAGAGTTCTCAGTCTTAGAACCTCCCCGGTCTGCAGGCTCTGGGTTCTGGCCGCCTGGTGGGCCGGGCTCATGGAGTCACACTCAGATGCCCCGCATGTGCTCACCTCACGCCTGGGAATCCTGCTCCTTAGGCTCACGGACCAGGATGGCCAGACTGTGAGCCGCGTCTGCCTCACTCCTGTCCCGGTCCCGTTGGACAAGTCAGTTCCCAGACCCCCACAAAAAGGGCTCCCTCCGGAGGCCAGCCCCTCTCCGCCAGCTTGTCCTGTCCTGGGTAACTGCCACTGGCCAAGACTCCACACAGTCCGGAGCCAGGACCACGGCCTCACACCAGCTGTCCTCCCAAAGCACCATTCTCAGTAGCCGCACCGCCCTGGGCCCATCTCCGCATCAGCTCCCTAACACGAACACCGCTGCGGCGGATAAGAGCTAGCTACGAAATCATGAAGAACCCCTGAAGAAAAAGGACTCATCTCTGGAAAAAGACTCATCTCAGGACAAGCTCAATGACGCTCTAGGCAGAAACAAATCACAGTGGGAAACCACGTGACTGCACAAAACACTGAAGTTCTGGACGTCAAAAATCTCCTCCAGCGCTGGAAACAGGCAGGGCTCAAGGAGCAAGTTTTGGCGGCACCAAGGGTGACCCCTTTCCACACTGTCTCCATGAAATCTCTTTTAAGGTCCCTGCTGCTTTTCTGGGAGGAGTTGCTGGCCACCAACCGGTTTGTGCATTAAACAGGAAAAGATGGCTTATTGTGAACCCTTTGAATTTTGAGCCTATCCGTTTATTACCTATTGAAAAATAAAACCTTACATGACATTTTAAATAGAAATCAAACATTTTGATTGGTTCTATGCAAACAGTTAATACACGCACATTTAATATGAGAAATGCAGAATTCCTGGCATAGCCCTTACCCCGAGACTAGGGAAGGACCGAGTTATAAAGCTGACCGCGCCTGCTCAGAAGGCCCCGCGTTGTAACCCCACATCCGCGCCGCTCAGCCGCGGGCGCTGGGCGGGCTGTGACGCATGGAGCGTTTGCAGACGGCGATGCTGCTTTTTGCTGAGAGTCGAGAATGGCCGAGTCGAGTCCTAGGCCCGTGGATGAATCTTTATTACATCTTTCCACCCTCGGGGGCTCCCAGGACCCTCCTGCCCGCCTCCCCCTGCCCTCTCTCCCACCCCGCCCACTCTTCCCAAGCTGTTGCGCGCGTTTTGCGCACCCTGAGGGTGGATCCAGCCAGCGTTAGAGCTACAGAGAGGCTCAGCTGCCCTGCAGTCTGTGGGAGTAATCCTGGCCCGCGGCGGCTCCCGCCCGGGTTAGAGGTGAAGACCCCTCCCGGACCGGGCCACAGCGCCACCGTGCGGTAGAAGACTGCGCAGCCAGGCACACCACTTAGCTGGCCGAAGAAAGCGCCCTGCCTAGCTCACCGTCGGGACCCGGGTACTCCCCAGATCGGGGACAGTCTCATTTCCCAGGACTGTGGAACGACTGTCAAGTGAGGTCCCAGCCACACCTCTGGCCCCCGCCCTCACGTCAAACAGCTGAGAAGGCCTGGGCTAATGCGCGAACGAAACCGGTCACTCTCACCTCCTCTGTCCCAAGGATGTGGAGGTCTGATTACACAACCTTTCTGAGCCTCAGTGTGCTGCCTCCAAAACTGAAGCAAGAACAACGGTCAGGAAACACATGAGGCAACCAAGGACACAGAGCAGCGGCCGGCTGACTGCCGGTGTTTAAGAAACTACAGTTTCCTCCCCTCTATCCAGGCCTTGCCTGGGAAAGTCAGACTGCTCAAACCCTGACTTCTCGCGGCCAATCACAAGCCGAAGCGGAGGCACAAAACCATCCCTAGCCATCAGCCACCATCTGCCAGTCAGAACGCTTCAGTTGTGAGCAACAAGCCAACCTGAGTTGCCAGGGACAGAGGGATTTCCTGGAACGTGAGCCTTCCCTGCTAAAACTGGACAAGCTCCTCACCCAGGCCTCCCTTCCCCCTCCTGGCTAGCTCTGGGCTTCCTGAGGTACCAACAGCATCCAGGGCAGTATCTCTGCATGGTGCAAACTCCCCTGCAATGCCCACCACCCCAGCACTCTCTGGCCGTAGCTTCTCCCCGGCATCTAGTGTGACAGTTACTCCAATAAACCACCGAGGCACGGCACTCACTCTGTGAAGACACCTAGGAAAATGCGAGAGGGTTTCTAAACCCCAGGCTCCAGACTGGATCTGCAAAGCAGCAACCGGGCACTGGTTCTTTGCTCAGCTCCAGAGTCTGCCCATGTGCCACTTCTGTGTCACCTTTCGTTGGCGCGTTAAATACCTGCCATGCGCCTGTAGCCCGGCACCACGGGCGGTGACAGCCCAGGGACGGGCGATGAACCCTGAACACTGAGATAAACATGGTCATTTTAGGTAGTCGTCGACATAATGCGCAAGTGCCAAACAAGGCGACGTGACAGGGAGGGGCCGTGCTCAGCAGGATCTCCGGGGAGCTGCGTTCGGCCCGCACCAGGGAGCGATCAGCCTCTGAAGACTTGTGGAAGCTGTCCCACAAGCAGGACTGGCCACTGCCAGGCTCCAAGGCAGAAATAAGCAAAAGGAAGAGAAAGATGAGACGGAAGCAGCGCTGACGGCCAGGCCGCGGGGACGGCCGCTGAGCTGGAAAAGACGGCAGGGGCCGGCTGAGGCCTGGGCCTGCAGGACGACTGCGGGCCTTCGGGTCTCAGTCCATGAGCACTGACGTCCCAGCATCCGGTGCGTGTCCCTAAGGGCTCCTCGGGCCTTCTGCGTGGAGAAGGGGCGGGAGAGGAGCAAGGGGAAGTGGAGAGCCACGCGAGACGGCAGAGGCCCAGCAGGACTCCCGAGGAACTGGAGACGGGGAGAAGCACCAGCTGCTGCCGGACGCTCCCTCGGCAGATCGGAAGGGCGCAGCGAAGGCTTGCAGCTTGTGAGTTTCGAGCCAGGTGCGTGGATGAGAGGATTGTTTTATGGGGTCAGAAAGAAGGAGCAGGAGCAGTGGGAGAGAACTTGCCTAGTGCGCACAAGTCCCTGAGCTCAGCACCACACAGAGAAAGCGATCAACAAAGAAAACGCCACGTTGCCCCACTGCATCAGTCAAGAGCTCTTTGGATTAGGAAGGACAGACACCCATGTCCGACCAAGCACAGGAAGGGGTAGCTGTGGGCTCATACAATCAAGCAGCTTAAAAGACATGGGGGGAACTCATCTCAAGAATCAGAGACTCCAACACCTTCTGATCACTCGCTCTCTCCCTGCTCCTCTGTAAAGGCAGCCTTTGGCGTGGGGTCTCCACCGTGGTCAGAATGGATGGCTTATTGTTAAGAGAAAGCGAAGGTCACTAAGGTCACTCCCATCCCTCAGGTCGCTACGTCAGAGGGGTTAGTGGCAAGGACTCGCGGGGTGAGACCCAGAACCCCAGTAAGGAAGGAAAGTTGCTCGCTCCACCAGGCCTTCCCAGGGCTGGCTACACCAGCTGCCTGCCTACACTCCAGGGGCCAATGAACCAGCAGGGAAAATAAAAACAATTACAGAGAATTTAGTTTTACAGTTTAAGCTAAGACGCTGTAGAAAAAATAAAACCAAATATAGAAGAAAGAAGAAGATCGCTTCTCGGCCTTTTGGCTAAGATCAAGTGTATAGAAGAAAGAAGAACAATAGCCACATAACATGTTTCAGCCTACCACAGAAACACAAGGGTGACCTCCTACAACTACAATGGCCCTGGGAATTTCCCATCAGCCAGTGGTGTCACAGCACTGACGTCGTGGTGGTGACACTGTGGGGTAAGCCAGCCCACTGCACCGCCAATATTCGCTACATTCTGTTTCTCTGGAGAGCCTTGACTAGTAATCTGGGGGAATTATTTACAGAACATATAGCCAATAAAGAAACTGTAACTAAAATATACCCAGATACTCTTGCAACTCATCACCAAAAAAGACAAACAATTCCATTTAAAAAGTTCAAAAATTTTGAACCCACGCTTCACCAAAGGATACACATAAATGTCTAACAAGCACATAAAAATGACTTAACATCATTAATGCTGCTCACTACATCACCCGAACCCCAACAAAGCTATGAAGCTAAAAAATAATTGGCTACTTTTGAAAATCACCGGAGCATCAACTCATTATTATAAAATATTGGTAGAAAAAAGAATCAAGCAATTACCCGATCCTTTCTATGTGAATTGTGCCTTAGGAAAACTAAATAAGTGGTGAGAGAAAAGGTTTTTTTTTTTCCTTTCGAACCATAGTCATAAAAGAAGAAGGAATAATAGAATTAGAAAACTATCATTGTGTAATCCTCAATAAAAATAATAGATCTATCCCGTTGCGGTGGTGCATACCTGTGATCCTGGCACTGTGGAGGCTGAGGCAGGAGGAGTGCCATGAGTTTAAGGCCAGTCTGAACTACCTAGTGAGATCCTATCTCAATCCCCCCCAAAATAATAATAATAATAATAATTTTAAATAATACTATATCTAGACACAGATCATAAATTGCTGCTAAAACCATTTGTTAGAGGTTGATGAGAAAATTGTTAGTGGACAGATGAGGCTGACCACTTCTGGGATTAGCAGCCAAAATGAACATCATGCCGGGCGTAGTGGCGCACGCCTGTAATCCCAGCACTCAGGAGGCTGAGGCAGGAGGATCATTTTGAGTTCGAGGCCAGCCTGGGCTACAAAGTGAGCTCAAGGCCAGCATGAAATGCATAGCGAGACCTTGTCTCAAAAAGGCTCAAAAAGACAAAATGAACATCACTACATGAAGACCAACCAGACATTATGTAGTTTCTGTGGGGATGTAGTAATGCACAGTAGCACCTGAAATACATATTTTGCAAATAAATAAATCTAAATCTTGTGTAGCTCTGTCACAGGAGACTGATGGACATGTTAAAAGATGTCTTAGCCAAATTATATGGGAAATTCTATAAGCAAACCAAAAAATATCTTAAAAGGAAGTGAGAAGAGAAGGACTTACTACAGATTAGTCTACTGGTCAAATGCAAAGGGCGGACCTTGTTTGGATCCTGATTGAAAGATCTTTTAGAGGCAACCATGGAGAACTCTTGTTGCTCTGGTTAGGTGCAGTCATGATACTGTGGTTATGCTTTTTTGTTTACAGTGGTTATCTATTGCACCTATTGCAGTATTCAGAAGATAATTTTTTTTTTCTTTTTGGAGAGGGGCAGTTATGAGACAGGGTCTCCGTAGGCAGTTCAGGCTGTCCTTGAACTCGCTTGAGATCACCCAGGTGATCTCCTCCTGCCTCAGCCTCCCCAGTGCTGGGATTACAGGCATCCACCACCACACCTCGGCGTAAATAAAGTTTCTGTTTTTGGGGAGTTTTTTTCTTTCTTAAAACAAAAGTAAAGAAACTTTTTTTAATGCATAGAGATTTGTGTCCAGGCCGGGACTGGATCTCTACAAGGGGGCTCAGCGCGGCCTTCTCTCCGGTACCCGGGCGGGATGGGTGGCGGAGGACGACAGGTGCGCCCCTCGGCATCCGCCCTCTCGCAGCCCTCTAGGTCTTGCTTCCCCCACGCCCCGTCCTATTTCCATCCCAGCTCCTTGGGGTGCGGCCCGACACGCCGCGGGACACGGTCCTTCGTGGGCGCCAACGCGACCTGAGCCGCCCGGCCCGCGCCGGGGGTGACAGGGCCGCGCGCGGGGCGACCCCGGAGCCCAGAAACCCACTCCGCTCCAGCAAGACGCTTCGCTTGGGCGCACAGCGGCCCGTGAGCGGGGACGCGCACCCCGCGGGGCACAGGGCGGCGGCGGGACCCGGTCTCCCCGGATCGCGACCCCCACTCCCCGCCAGGCCCCCGCCGCGCGTCCCCGGTGTGGGACTAAGTTGCAGGGGCGCCTCGGAGTAGCAGCAGGAGGAAGCAGAGGGGGATCTGGGTCGAGCAGGTTCCAGGGGGCTCGGAGACCGGTAAAGAGCCGCTTCCCGCCGCGGCCGCGCGGATCCCGGAGCAAATCAGTTACAAGGAGGGAAGGGAGACTAAAAGACTGGTTCCCTTCGGGCAAAGGGCTAAAACAGGGCGCGGAGCACCC